GTTCTTACATCTGTATTCTCACCAAGAAGGGCTGTAAGGTAAAAGGTAAAGGTTTCCCTTGCTCGAAAGCCAGTCGAATCCAACTCTAGGGGACGGTGCTCATCTCCGTTTCCAAGCCGAAGAGCCAGCACTGTCCAAAGACATTTCTGTGGTCATGTGGCCGGCGTGACTAAATGGCAAGGCACGCAGAGCTCTGTTACCTTCCCACTGAAGCGGTACCTATTTATCTACTTGCAATTTCTTGCTTTCGAACTGCTAGGTTGGCAGGAGGTGGGGCCAGAGACAGGAGCTCACTCCGTCACACAGCACTCGGGTCTCGAACTGCTGAACTACAGACCTTCTGGTCCGCAGCTCAGCGTCTTAACCTCTGAGCCACCACGGCATCCTCTTTATTTTATTGTATTTCTTATTTGGAATAGTAGATTTGAATAGTGATTTTAATGTAATGTAATGAATAGTAGAAAGTAATGTAATTTGGAATGGTAGATTGTATTGTATTCATCTGGTCTGGCTGCAGAGGAGACATAACACTGCACAACTAGTCACCCTACTTTAAATAAAAGGATGCTGTTAGTTACCTCCATGCTTGAGAGGAGACAGATGGAGCAGAACAACACAGTCTCAGGTAATTACTCTCAGCCTTCCACAATTAAGAAGGGTACATTTACACACCAGCCTCCAATTCTGAGATATTTATTTGCTTCACAAATGCGTGCTAATTTTCTGTTCACCCTCTACCTATATGTATGGACTGGTAACTTCCATTTCATTGTATCTTAAGAAGTGTGCATGCACATGAAAGCTTACACCTTGAATAAAACTTTGTCAGTCTTTTTTTTTTTAAAGGAGACAGCAAGGACACAATTTGAAAAGTCCATTGTCTAGCTATGCTAACTACAAGTCCTTCAGCTGTCCCCCTGTAGGATGATCTTCAGATCTTCTTTATAAGGCTGCACTTTAGACCTTGCATATCCCAACACTAACTACCCTGGGGGATGGAGTACAGGAACTCTGGGGTAAGAGCTTCTCTGGTGTGTAGTGTACTGGGGTTGATGGACATTAAAATGCTGAACAAAAAAAGAGAGAAGCTGCCTAGAGTGTGCATCTAGAAGGGGGAGTGCCAGGTGTGAGGCAGGGTAATTCAGAGCCTGCCACACTGCCAAGCTTCCCAAGGACTATACTGATCATTGCTGGACCAAACAGCAGGCCACCTATCTGCAAGATCAGCACAGGTGACACGATCCAGACAAGTGCTCACTGAAGAAAAACCCTGTGTGCTCTTTTGTACTTAACACTTCTAGTTTGATATTGCAGCCTGGAACTTTGTGGGGGAAGCTGCATACAGGGCTAGAGAGAAGTGTGGGCTAGAAAGACTATTCTGCCCACCTGATAACTAGCTGGTTTGCACAGAAGAAAGATCTGCCATTTCTTCCTGTTATCAATAATGCTGGCTGTTATCCGAGAATAGCACAATTCTTTCAGCTTTCAAAGGGCATTACTGTCCTGACAATTTCTGGAGCTTCTATCTGGGTACATGAGAAGACATGGACCATTTTTGTGACTCTTTATGAGATGCTTGAGAGGGCTTCCTAATTATTTAGTCCTTTTATGGTAGGAATACTGCATAAAATGGCTTCTCCAGAGGGACTGATCTCTGCTACCTGAAGAGCATTTGTATGTTTGAGTTATCTGTAGCCCTCACCTGGAGAGTGGTAACCATTGTTACCCATTCTCCTCTCCCCTATGAGGTATGTTATGCAACTGAAAATTCCAACTGCCTTGCGGGGGGGGGGAGTTTGAGGTGTGGAATGGAGTGAAGTCCAATCAGCTTCCATATGCAAAATACCAGGTTGTCGCAGCAGTTGTGGTGTGGGCGGGACCCGGGCTTTGCCTTCTGATTGGTGGCGATATATGCTGAGGAGCAGTGCCATCAGCCATACACTAAGGGCGTGCATTTTAGAATTAGAACTTTGGCACCCACTATTCAATTATATATAAGGAGAGATACTGCATAAAATGGCTCATTCTCACATTACAGTTGAGAGGGTGATGTAAATGTGTCTGCAAGCAACTTAATGTGGTTCAGTATAATCGCATGGAAACTCTGCAGGACAGCATCAGAGAGTACCAGGAATATAGTGCTGATGGAAGATCCATTTGGAAAGCATCCTGCAAATGTCATTGGATGTGTGGAGTCACTACTATGCAGAAGCATTTCTAGCATCCTCACATGTGGAGACTGGTAATGTGAGAATTACTTTCTTAAAAGATACTTTTAAATGTATTCATCATCACTCCAAACAATGGGAGAATGAGATTAAGATTGGGACAATTATTAAACCTCATCTGCAAGGGAGACACAGAGGTGCTTGCTCCCTAGAACAAGAGTCTATCTTCAGGGTAGCTGGTTGGCCACTCTGTGACTTTCCAATGAGTGAACCTGCTAAAGAGAAACTGGTATTTTCAGCTCTTCATTTGATTGGTGGCTTAATGGAAGGGAAAGGAGCACACTTCATATGTAAAGAAAAGAACAGCATTTACTTGAAGATGACAATCTGAAATGTCCTGCTAGGAGCCAGAATATATGTTATTCATTAGGCTTCCAGCTTTTTGATTTGTGGCTGATTTTTCAATGATGTCATTCAATTCTTCTTGTGTAATTCTCTCATTCATGTTTTCTTGCAAATAGCCATTGGATGGGAGTTGTGGAGGGAAGAGCACTATCGTAAGTTTCAGTAGCTTCTTTATTAGAGAAACAGCATATAGCCCTTTGTAAATTTAGCATACAGCACTCATCTAGTGTCTTACAAATATGTACTCTAGAGTTTCTTCCTGTGGTACTTTCTTCTTCATAACAATTACATTTTTTATAATGTATTCTGAATGGATCCATGGACAGAACAACTATTGTATGCATCCAAGTACCTGTTACATGGAAAATTTACTTGGGCAATCATTAATACATTCCTCAGTGCACCCTTTCCCTATTAACATTCGTATATGAAAATAATTTATGAAGTGGTCATCAACCTTGGACTTGGGGGCAAAGACCCAGAGCTATCATTACAGCTGTCACTCTGAGTGTAGATTATTTCTTTTAATGCTTGAATAATTCTGCAGCCACAGAGTGATGGGAATTCAGCAGAATTAAGTTTTATGAAGTGCCTGTAATGTAATGGAAGCTGCTGCTGTCGCTGCACTCATTGGGGCACACCACATCTGATACTAGGGCTTTGTAATTTTAACTCTAAATATGGAGTATGACCCTGAAAAACAAAAAGGACAGGACCTGTATTTCAGCAGTAAGAAACAAGATGTTGACTCCTTCCATTCCGCTTCCCCGGAAATTCCTCCCCAACCCCTGCTGCTTTAAATCCCATGTAGCCAATGCATGGCTATTCAAAGTTGGGAACCCACCACATAAACTGAACACACACACATGAAGCTGCCTTATACTAATCAGACCATTGGTCCATCAAGGTCAGTATTGAGTACTCCAACTGGTAGCGGCTCACCAGGGTTTCAGGTGGATGTCATTCACATCATCTACCTGATTCTTAATGGGAGATGCCATAGATTGAAACTGGGGCCTTCTGCATGCCAAGCAGATGCTCTACCACTGAGCCACAGCCCCTCCCTTTTATTCAGTTCCTTGCCAGATTACTTGCCAGAATTACTTTCTAGAACTAAAGGATAGGCACAGACATTGACACCTATTTTATATGCTGACTTTTAAGGAAATTTTCTGCTGCATTGAAGAAACAAGATAGAAACGGAGAGATCAAAACACTGGACATAGCCAATCAGTTCAGTTCAGTTCAGTGCCAATCTGAAGAGAAACCATCTTATACTACCCCTTCTGTCTAGATTTAGCCCTTTGCAGTCTTATCTTGACTTTAGGCCAGAAGTCCTTCATAAATTCCTCAGTGACTTACACTGTGGCAAAATTTTGTTGCTTAGCTATTAGGAAACAAACTTATTTTAGCTGAAAAAATTATATGATTCTTTTATTAACACTATTTTACTTTACTAATGTTATTAACTCTCTCCTGTTAATGTTTTTATATTATTCCCATGTTATTACTGTTTTAATCCCTTTTATATCAGAATTGTACTGTTTTACTGGCTCCTGCCACAATAAATTAGATTAAAATTGAAATCATAGCCAATCTAGTTCAGTGATGTCAAGCCTGACCCATATTGCAGGATTTTACTGGAGAGACTTGGCAGAGCTACCAGATATACCTCTTTTTAATTGGGTATTACAAGATGGAACCAGTTACCTTACAAATACAATGAAAGTGTTTTAAAAATTTGTGATCTGATATAATCCTGCTAGAGTCAGGCACCGAAAATCTTGTATACATTTATTGATTCCAGCAACATATGTATGAGAGGGGAACTGAAAAAGGTGGCTGATTTTTAAGCACCTTTTGACTTTTCTGTTGATTTGACAGGGGGAGGGGATAAGGGGCATGCAGGGGAAAGAAGGAAGTGCACCGTGCTGTTTGCCCAGGCAAGGGAATCAAGACAGTGCTCCCTGGTATACTGGATTAGTCAATAGGCTAATCCAGTATACCCTTTTCACATTCAGAGAGAGGGCTTAGTTTTTCCTTAGTAACATAAGTCACATTGCCAACTTGACTGGCTAGAGGTGCTAAGATATTAACGTGTTATATGATTCCTGGAGGAAAAAAAATCAATTGCACAAACTGGCACAGAAGCAGGTGTTAGGAAAATTTTGGGAGAGTTCAAGGATGATATATCCCCCCCCCCAACCAAGTCAAAATTGAGAAGCAATGAACATTTAGCATGGCACTACTTTTTATGCAATCTGAAGTTTTGACTTTTTGTATTCACCTCCTCCCACACAGTACATAAAGACATTCCTCTGGCTGTGTGCCTCTTGCATCTTCATGGTTTATTCTGAAGTCCTAGCTCAAACATTTCTTGCACGTCTGCTCAGAGTTCTTTCAGCAGCACCTTTCTTCCAGGATTTCTCATGGTTCAGTGTGGGTTGCATGTTCCTTCATGGTTTCAGACACTGGGGGCTTTAGTTGGCCCTCTTGATCTGGAAGCTCATCTGGGGTCGCTGGCTCTTCTTCAAGATTTAGAATACATCCTGCTAACTCTTCAATATCTTCCAGACTCAGCAGGCCAAGGTCTCTGTAGTAGTCATTCAGTACTCTCTCCAGAACCCTCACTGCATCAGAAGTTCTGAAGTGTTTCTCCAGGACCTGGGACAGTTGATACCATACTGAGCGTTGGACAGGGGCTGGTTTGGATAGCTCCTCAAGGTAAACTCGCTCTGGCTTTTTAATGACCAGATAGAGAATGGATTCTGGCCCAATTGGATAGTCTGATAATCTGTGCTCTCCCTCTAGTACTTTGCCTCGGAACAAGAGGGTCTGCTGGTTCACAGGAACGTTCAGTTGTTCCGACACGAGGCTCTTGACTAAAGAGATCCGTTCCTCTCCAGATACCTGGAGACGGCACTGCTGGCCAAGCAGTCTCTTCACTGTAAGCAGCATTGCCTTGCTAGGTGGGCTAGAAAGCTAAGTCCTGCTTTCAAGAGGTAACAGCCAGACCCCTAGAAGGAATAGAGGCTAGGGAAGTGATTGGCTGATTTCAGTCTGATGTCACAATTCTATTAAGGTCAGTGCCTGAGAAATACTCACTTCTGCTCTCATGAAATTTACCTGTGGGCGCAGATTAACTTTTGGCAGAAAAGGGTAACAACATTTCTATATCAATCACTCTACTTACACTTTATGTTTTATCTGCACCTTGTAATTTTTCCCAACATAAATTGGTCCCCATTTGCATCAGTTTCATCCTCTCCTTTTTGTGAGGTATTCCAAGTTTTTTCAATGAGTGTGTTGAATGTGTGGCATTTGATGAAAATGCCAAGTTTGTCAAGGCATGCAGAAGTAGTTATTCAAATTTTCAGAACTATCAGCAATGCTAATGCTAGATCCCTTGGGATATCTCACAACAGTAAATAAAATTGATTCAATACTTTGTGACTATTGAGTAAGCATGTATCCTACAGTGACAGGGCTGTTCCGAGTAATAGTCCTCAACAGTAAAGATACCCCTTGAAAAGAGATGAATAGATGTTGAATGGAGAGGCACATAGTATTTGTAACATGACTCAATGTAAAAAAAAAAGATTTAAAAAAAGGCTAAAGTAAAACATCCAGTGAAAGAAGCAATCTCATTTCCTAGCCCAAGCCTTAAAAGGAACAGGTTCTGGCCTGTAACAACAAAAAAAAAATGCAGGTGAAAGATACTCACAATTCTTTAGCGGTTTGGACATAAAAGATGCTACCTTGTCTCTGCTGGAAATTGTAACTGCATGCAAGAGGATCTAGGAGGGAAAGGGTTAAGATAATTCTCTCACTCAGGTACACTTGGCAATTGGCCCCACCCTCTTATCAGATATTAAGTGTCTTTGGCTGTTGCTTGTCTTCTGTTTTAGGAGTAAGGCCCGTCATGGGAAGAAATACAACAAGCTCTAGAAAGAGGCTTCAGGTGAGTGTCCTGGCTGTGTCTGCTGGGGTGGTGGAGGGAAGGAAAAAAGAGAGGGAGGCGAGCCATGTTTATTTCCTTCTGCTTAGCTATAAGGCAGGGCTGTCTCAAGTCATTTTGCTTCCCCAAGTGGGTAGTATGGGAGCACAGCCTCATGGCAACAGGTATGGTTTCCTCCACCCCTGACTTATGTTGATTTGGGGCTATGCAGTGGCAGCTAAGGTAGAAAAGCACCTCCTCCTATGCCATGTTTTCTGGGTTCCAAGGGTCTGGAAAGTGGTTCCGTAGCCAGTTAAAGCGTGGCCAACTTTGGGCTGGGAAATATCTGTAGATTTGAGGGGTAGAGCCTGGGAAGGGCAGAGTTTGGGGTGGGGAGGGACCTCAGCAGGGTATAATGCCATAGAGTCCACTGCCCAAAGCAGCCATTTTCTCCTGGACAACTGATCTCCTTTTACAGAGGACCTCTCTTCTCTCTCTTATCTTTCTGAAGTTAACCTGTTCGCAACAAGTTAAATGAACCTACATGAATAAGATGTGCTTCTATTTTTGTAAGTAATTTTTTTTCCTCTTGTTACCACTGGAGTCAACTCATCTTTGTAATTGGTCTGCACTTTCCCCTTAACTGGGAAATTTGGAGAATCAGGGATGCAAAAAAGCATCTGTGCTTTCAAGGCAAATTGTATTGTTTTTACATTAAACCCAATAGTCTCTGCCCACATTCCACTGTATCATCTATTGTGGAGCAACTCTTAATTTCACCGCCATAATGTTCAGAGAGTTGGTATTGATTGGTTAGCCCTGAATATGTATAAACTCCCTCCCCATCCCAAGTCAAGCACCAGACATAAAAAAATTGTATTCAGTTTTCAATGGAATCAGTTCATATATCTTCAAGTTTTCAAGAGTTCAATAACTGATTGCATTTTTATCCTGTTCTTTTCCCAAGGAACTCACACTAACCCTGTAAAGTAGGCTATGTTGAGAGATTGAAGAGATTGGATTTATACCCCGCCCTTCACTACCCAAAGGTGTCTCAGTGCGGCTTACAAACTCCTTTCCCTCCCCCTCCCCACAACAGGCAGCCTGTGAGGTAGGTGGGGCTGAGAGAGCTCTGACAGAAACTGCTCTTTTTCGAGAACAGCTCTGACAGAACCTGGGGTCATTTCCTGCAGGAGTGCGCAGGAGTGGAGCTCTGGCAGTAAAGAGCCCAGGGGGCGAGCACATGCAATAAGCCCCACCCCCTGCTCCCAGCAGCCCTCAGTCAGAGCAAGAAGCAGCCAGGTAAGTTGCAGAGTCCCCCGGCCCAAAACAGTCCAGTGGCACCTTTAAGACCAAGTTTTATTCAGGTACAAGCTCTCCCTCCTCTGCGAGGACAGATCTGCACGTTCCCCCCCCAATAGCTAGCAATCCAAAACAGTCCAGTGGAGCCTAAGCGGTGGGTGTTGCCTTCTGACACACTTCCAGTGATGCCAGGGGGTGTGGCATATGCAAATAAGTTATGCTAATGAGTTATGCTAATGAGCTCCTGCACCTCTTTTTCTACAAAATGACCCCTGGACAGAACTATGGCTTGCCCAAGGTCATCCAGCAGGTGCAGGAGTGGGGAATCACACCCGATTCTCTCAGATTACAGTCCACGCACTTAACCACTACACCAAACTGACTCAAACTGGATTAAAGTCACTCTGAAAGCTTCAGTGGTGAATGGGAATTTGTACTTAGGTTTCCTTGGTCCTAATCCATCACTCCAAACCCCTATACTACACTGGCTGAGTGAACAATTCCTTATACTACTAAGCATTTTGAAACTCCTGACACTAAGCTTTGAGGATTCAGGTATAAAAAAAGCTCCCACAAATGTTTAAAACTAGATCTGTTGAATGGCAGACCACTTAAGTTAGAGCTAAGAAAAGGAGTACTACATCAGGATCTAACGAGGAGAAGATGGAGGAAAAGGAAGTTAGTAAGAATTCCAATTAAGAACAAGTGAATGTGGAGAGGGGGCTCCATAAGGCTTAAATTTGACAGCCATGGTTATTCCCACTTAACCTGATCTCCTGTTTACATGCTTGACAGATACATAGCAATGAAAAATGATGGATGCCATAGAACAAGGCTACCACTGCAAGCAATTCTAATTATATCTGCATTTTAAATTGAAGAATTCCAAATGAATGAGTAGTAGTAATACAGACTGGTGGCACAGTGGTCAAACAACATTTTACAACCACTGCATAGAAGGGGACTCTATGAATTCTTGCATTTGGCCAATGGAAGCTGTAGCATTTTTAGACATTTACTACACAATTGTTCTTCTCAATTATAGTGAGTATAAGCAAGTGTAATTACAGAATCAACGTATGTAATTGCACAGTGATTGCTGTAATTAGAATCCCAAACTGCCTGCTGAAACATGTGGTGAACTGAAACCTGAGTCTGTAGATGAGGAAGAAGCAAGGCTACATGAGAGATTGAGGGAGACGCTTCTTTAGGTAAAGCACTGCAGTGGCATTCTGTGTGTGTGTGTGTGGGGGGGTCCAATTCAGAAAAGGTGTGTCCAGGGAAGAGCAGAACACAAAGGGGAATAATTTGTGCCATGACTGAGACTACATACTCTAGAAGACCCAAGGGAAAGATTGCTGTTACAAAGTTACATTAATGTCACAAGTACAGACATATAAAAAATACACGTGAAGCAAAGAGAAATGGGAAGGGAAAATTTAGGGAAATGCTGGGGCAAGTGATGCTCTGTATTCTTGGTCGTTGCGGGGGGGGGAGGCAACAGTGGGAGGGCTTCTAATGTCCTGGCCCCACTGGTGGACCTCCTGATGGCACCTGGTATTTTTGGCCACTGTGTGATACAGAGTGTTGGACTGGATGGGCCATTGGCCTGATCCAACATTGTCTTCTCTTATGTTCTTAATAAAGAACTGAAAACAGATGTTCCTAACCTCTAGTTGAACCACAGGGTAAACATGAAGGTTCCTAACACCTAAGTCTGATGGAATGAACAGATAGCTTAGGAGTGACCAGTGCTGCATAGATTCAGATTGCCAGGTTTTGTCAAAGTAGGTGCCAACCACACATTATCCTTTGTAAAATACTCCTGCATATCTTTGTTGAGTGCAACAGGTGTGAGGAACAACTGTGCCACCATTCTTATTTGTGAGGTATAGATTCTCTGAAACTGAGAAAGGCTTCTCCAAATCCCACTCCCCTGGGGTTTGGGAGGCTGTGAGCTCCCTCTTTCCTGCACTGAAAACCCCATTGAACCTGATTAGGGATGCTCACATGAATTCACTCAAGGTGACAGTAACAGTGCTTCATCCATGGCCACTTTTTTGTTTCCATTCACAACACATGCAATAATTTGTATGTGTCCATGATGACCCTGCACTAAAAATACTATACCTCAAGTGTTACCATGTACTCTAGGAGGACAAAAGTCAAAGGCTAAATTTAGTATCCAAATAAAATAAAATAAATTCCAAACTCCCTTATGGGTAAATAATCGGAAGGGTTACCAGAGAAAGCCTCCCCAAATCTAATTTGCCTAGCTGCAAGTTGCCTTTTGTGTGTATTAATGTTGTATCTGGCTCACATCACTTCTGGCCAATGCTCCATCCCTGCTTCTACCATCCACAAAAGGCAACTGTGTCCTGTTGTCTGATGGTTTGCTCCAGCCCCTACTGCTGTCCTCTGCAACAGAAGGCATAGCAGACAGACTGCCCAAGTTACTTTGCCCTGGACCCCTGCTTTTCAACTCTCTCCAACAAGAGAGGTGTTTGATTTTTACAGCTCACCAGAAAGATGACACGAGTCATAACCCCAGTATCAAGCAAAAAGAAGCAGTGATAGCTTTGGGTTGCACACTAGGAAGGAACCATAGGTCCCCAATCTCTTCTGGGGAAGAATAATTTGAATCTCTTTCCAGACGGCATTTGAAATTCCAGGATTCACACATACAAGGAAGAGTTATAAGATGAAAATTATTTCACTATTTTAATGCTTGATCATATTCTTTTATGTGATCACATGCTTTGCCTGCACAATCATATAGACACCACCACACTGTTCACAGTGCAGACGGTTCACCACCTTCTCAGATTGTTACATCCCGAAAAAAGTTGGAAGTTGCATCACAATTATTGGACTGGCTGCCTGGGAGCATTTGCTCCAGTTAGCTGCATTTACTTTACTTAATTTAATTCTTATTGTAAGAGGCAAAGTATACATTGGTCCCTGCTGCTCTCTGCTTGAAACACATGCTGCAACCTCAATCATGTAATTTAATCTTACAGAAGTGCTGGATATATATATAGTGCAAAGTGCTGTGATGATTTTGCACTGACATTAACATCCTAAATATGTTTACTAAGGAATCCCATTCATTTCATGGGATTTACTTCCAAATAAATAGAATTGCGAAACAGAAATAGAAAAAAATATGCCATATTGTACTTGCTTGTTTCTCAAAATCCTTCCTAGATGCTAACATCCATTGTACTTGCTTGTTTCTGAAGGTTTAATAGTACAAACTACAGTAATCCAACTCAATGATATATGTGTCTTCTTATACCAGATACCATCTCTTAGGGAAGATGAATCATCCACTTTCTAACAGGTCTGCTTACCATTTCTTTTAGACAGATGCCTTCACTTCCACCTCGCTGTTTACACACAGCAATGGCTTGTATGGATTTAGATGCCTAGTCGTCACAAACAATAGTGAGGTGGCAAACCAGGGTCTAGACTGTACCATTGCTGGTGTGGGCTCACACATGATTATATGCTGCTTTATCCAAAAACATTTCCAAACACAGGTGACTGTCAGGCATCAAGTTAAGCTCTCTCCCCAACATGTTAGCTATGTCTTCAATGCCTTTTATGGAAGAACATTCAAATCATGCATGCCCCCAACTTGCAGTCTCTAGCAGTACAATGGAAACACAGGTTTCCCATCTTTCTTTGCAAGATCATCATCATAAAATGGATTACTTGCCTGGGCATCTACAGACTGAGGAAATTGGATACTAACAGGTCACAGTTACAAGTAGGTCCTACCAGGAAGCCAAGAAAGGCAACTACACTGGCAAGAGCACCTGCTAAAAACTGTTTGAAAACTAGAATCCCAGGCAAATGGAAGGGGGAAGGATTGCACGTGGAGGAAAACAGAAAAGCAATGTTAGGGTTTTCAGGAAGGAAGAGTACTTAATAGACAGATACTAATTTTCAGTTTCGGGGGGGGGGGGCTGAAAATTTAGACAAAGTTTTCCCTTCCATCCAGGGGATAAAAATAGAACAGGATCCCTGATTTTAATGAAGCTGCTTTCACACATCCCCATCTGGAGCAAGCCAGTTATGCTCCCATCACCTGCCAACAAAAAGCAGCAGGTGTGAGAACTGTTGCCACTGCTTATAAACACATTTCTATTCACACCAATTATATTCAGTCCCTACATGCACTAATGGGACCAGAGACCTCCTCTCCCTGCATCAGTACAGACAATGGCACACCATCTCAGTTTTTCCCCACCCACTACACATCATGAAGTTGCTGCTCTTCCCTAGAAACTAGGAGAAAAAGGATGCCATTCTGTCCATTGGGGGGTGCAGGTGCAGGGCCTAGTAAATAAAGCCTCCATTCAAGTTTTGGAACGAAGTAGCCAGCCAAGTTCAGTGAACAGAAGCATGAGGAGCATTTAGCAAAAAGGAGCATGGAACATTTCCCTTGAACAGCAGTCAAGGCTGATGTTGACATTTTTCTGAAAGTTGTTCAACTGATCTGGTTTTCAAGCTGAACTACTGTGAATCCATTTTACAGTGTTCAAATCAACCAGTAACTGAGGCAGCCCAAAATATTTATGAGAACCATATTGGCCTTGAGAACTGTCTATAAAGCCATGCTGCCACTTGGAGAAGAAAATAAGAGCTGCAGATTACAAGCTGCATGAAAAAAATGACATCTCCTCCCTACACCTGGCTGACTGAAGAGGAAGAACCTGGCCTTGCGCACATACATCAGGTCTGAGTCTGAGATCTTCCTCTTATCAAATATCACTGCAGCAATTCTTCCCAGCAGATGGGTCTAGAGAAAACCTCTCTTTCCAGCCACAGATCATAATTCATTTGGAAATCTTCAGGCAGCTCCACACGTTGACCCAGAACACTCTGCAAACAGTTATCCACAGGGAGGAATTCTGGGTTGTTATGCGTGCGGTCATAGCGGCGAGAGTTGAAACGCTCTATGCTGGCACGCAGAGCACACTCTTCAGCTTGGAAGTCCCATGGACGTGCATCCAGATCTGCAGAAGTCATGAAAGTCATGATCAGGCTCCAGAACATCAAGGCAGCAAAGAGGCCCCAGACACACGAAGAAACAGCACTGACCCAAGAAAGCTTCTGCCAGAGTAGATTTTGCTAGTCTTTAAAGGGCCAAGGGAACCCTGTTTTATTTCGCTGCTACCACACTAATACTGCTAGCCACCTGGAATTTCTAAATATTCCTGTGCCTCGACTAAAAACCTCAGTTTTTCAGCTTTCACAGTTGTACAGGAAAGCTTTCAGAATCCTGAATACGAGCTCTCCTGAATGGCTGACTGACATCTACAAGTGAATTCTGGGACTCTTGCAGGTGGCTGCCAGGCTGCTGGGAATGAGTGGTGCAGGAAGGCTTTGGAGCCACTGGACAGGGCCAGATGGAACTGAGGTTTGGGTAATTGGACTGCAAACAGTATCACTGACTGTTTTCACACACAACCCACTAGTACCTACCAGGGATCATGCTTGTGACAACATTAATAAAAAGATTTAAAATGTAATAAAATGCTCATCCACTTTGCAAGAATAGTTAAGTCGCTATTGCCCAATCCTCATCCAACAAGATGCAAACCAAAGGCTCAGATGTCCCAAAAAAATCCAGAAAAATGAAATAAGAACCAAACCAAATAGTCTCCCCCCCTTAGTTTTTAGGTGTGTGAAATGAGGAACAGAATTAATACCATATTAATATCCCTCTATGGTTTGCATAACAGACGACTATCAATTTCAACAAAATGAACTTCAATGATACTTGGGGAGATAAAAATCTAACAATAAAATTTAGCAAAATCAGATATAACAGGAAAAAACATTTTTTAAAAAAGATTTTTTTATTTTCCACAACACAACACACAAAAGGGAATATTTGCTCAATTTCTTTACATTCTTCTTAACGTGCATATACCTAGTTACTTGTAATTTTCATCACCTTATCGTTAAATTTAAGATTTGCAAATATATTGGAATTATCTTTTTTGAGCATTTTTCATGAGATTAAACTTTTATTTTACCTCCTTTTATGCTGAATATGCACAAACTTGAACCAATCATGAGTTGCATGTATGACTCATCTACTGGCTGCCGAGATAGACTAATTAGCTCAGGCCCTGGTCACACGGGCTGGATATCGCGCCGGGGGGGGGGGAGGCGTGGCTGTTTGCCCCGGGGCAAAATAACGCATGGTTGCGTGATCAGATGTCCCGTGGAGGTCCCGTGGGTAGGGGGGAGGTGCCGATCACAGGACAATCCTGCGGCGCGGCAAACAGGTTTTTTTTTCTGTACACCAAAGTATGCACATGCTCCGTTGGGTGCTTGTGCGCATCCATGGAGACTTGGGGAAAAAAACCCTTTTTGCAAGGGGACATGGGCGGGCGCCGGATGCCACCGGAAACGCGATCAGACGCCCGCCCTTGCCCCGCGGTTACCGGAAACTAGTACCTCGGAGGTACTAGTTTTTTACCCCACATCTTCGGCGGGAAGCCTCGGGTGAGCTATGGGAAC